ATATATATATATATATATATATATATATATATATATATATATATATATATATATATATATATATATATCACTGAATTTGAGATGTCAGAATCACAGGATTCAGTACAGAACAAGAAGTTTATGTCTAGCTCTTAAGTGACTTGAATTACTCTGATATAAAGACAATAGGGATATAAGGATCAGTAACATAAAGTAAGCCAAATGCCATCCAGTAAGACATTATGTTGTGTTAGCAAACAGTTGATCTAGCAAGGTGGAGTTTTGTTTGTTGCCAGCAGCAGCGTGAAGAAAAAGAAAACCAAGTTGCAGAAACTATATATAAAGCCACAAGGAATAACTGAAGAAGAACGCGATGAAATGTGTCTTAGCAACATGGTATGCATATTCTCTTTGCAAGACTAATTGGCCATTTTAAGTGATGCTGTAAATCAACTGTGGCATGCAATATAGAATTGTAGACAATCCAATCTTTCAGTTTATTATTGTACCATTACTGGCTTGCATCCCTGCTGATAAAGGACATTCTAGATAAGACCAACAGCCATTTATTGAGAACAGGCAAATACACTTATTCCACTCATTGAACTCCATATGCTTGACCTCAGCCTGAAACAAAAGGCTGATGTCCAAAAATTGCAGTATGCTGCAATTTACATACAAAGTTTAGCAACAGTCAACTCAATCATCACGACCATATTTATCCAACTTATATGGTTGGACACAATCTTTGGTCAGACTAATAAATACCAATTGGTACATAACATAACTATCTAACCAGTTCCTTTGGGATTACCACTACCTCCAATCAAACAGATGGATGGGTAATGTTCAGTGAAACACTATGAAAAAATATGTTCATTTTAGAAAATATTAAACTTAATAAATCAAAATAAAAATATTTTCCATAACTAGTATATTGTTACTTAATATTCTAATTTATACATTACAATTTTTATTTAATAAACATATATTTAATTGCTTTTAATTGATTCACCTTTGAACAATCTCCTAAATGATATTATTCAATTTTCAGCTGATTCCAATCCCTTCGATCTGATCCTCCTGATAAGGCTGATACCAACATTATGCAATTGATTAATATCAATCCCAATTCTTATTATATGACCTACGATAATTTTTTATATAATGATTTAAAGTTAAGTAAATTCAATAATCAATTTCATATTTGATATAGTCATTTTCTCTTGACTTACAAAACTCATAAAATTTCAATCAACAATCCATCTTTTTCTAAAAAAATGTATTTGGTGATTCAGAGAAATGAGATTATGGTATTCAGCATGCATGCCAAATCATTGGATATTTAAGTCTTGGAGAAGCACTTCCACTATGCAATCCACAAATTTTATATGAACAACAGGTTGAATAAGAGAGCAAGGCTACAAATTGGACACTCACATATATTTATTCTATAATTAACTTAAACATCATTATAAACCAGATAAAATATTCCAATATTATGTAATAGATGGTTCGACAAACCAGTTGCCAAAAATGAAAAAAATGGAATCAAAAGTTCATAAAAAAAAATAAGATCCTTCTTACCTGAAGATTAGCATGAGGACTCTGGGGAAATATCAACTCAAAGAAAACAACTGCTTTGGCTTGATTCTTAAAATATATATTGAGTGCACTTTTGTACTTCTCAAGCTCTGTTTCAGTATCCAAAGGCATTGTAAGAGTGTTAGGGCAATGCTGAACTGGTACCAGCAGTACATGGTTCGGAACAAGTGGACCTTTAGCAAGTGCACAGTAGTAACTTTCTCCAATGCTTAATACGAGATGTGACTCCACGTTTGGACTTGATAAGCAGAACCAACAACTCCTCTCTGTTCTTCCTCGACCACTAAATCATAATGAATCAAAAATTAAACATTTGAGGCACTTTAGTGATGAAAAGATTCTAGAGTAATGTGACGAATCATGTACAAGCAAGAGAGGCATGCACAAGCACGACAAGGTTTTGATGAAAGGACACGGAAACACAGATTAAATTATCAATGATCAACTGAGGCATTAAAGTCAGATATGAGAAACCCTCAAAACTATATATATGCTGAAAAGTGTGCTCTTTATAAACATGATGACATCATAATTAAATATTAAGTATTCAACTGACCTTTGGGCTCTCTCTTTTTCCGGGAAACTAGCCCCTGATTCAGCTAGACTGTGACCAAACTTGCAATCAGGACCCCGTTCACACTTTCCTTTGTTAAGAAAATCAAAACAAACATTTCTCATATAGTGCTCTCTGGCTTCCTCATCATGTCTAAAGTGACACTTGCCCCCTCGAGAACAGGATCCTGTAGATGTGAATTTGAAGCACAGTCTTCCGCTATCATTTTCTCCTTGTCTCTGCCTCTTTTGTGAAGTGTCATAACGCCAATATTGTGTATCAGAATCACTAGGCCGCTTCGTAGTTTCTCTTGCATGACTTACTTTCTCACCAAGTGAATATGGTGACATAGTTGTGTTTGGTGGCCGAGCATGAATCTCATTACTTGACATCATAGATGCTGGAGTAGGAGAAATCGCATGAATAAATTTCTGGCAAGCAGATATAGATAACAGTTATATAGTGCCTGACAACTACATTCACACAAAAAAAATGAAATGTGAATTATTCTAAAAAACATATTGCCTCATTGAAGAGGCTGACAGAAAAAGCAAAATGTTACAAACCCTAGTAAAGTTACATATACGTTGACTTCCTACACTGCACATAACTGCTACTACGAGTAGAAAATCCTGTAAGTTACACGTCAACACCGAGAGTTATAAGGTCCATATGTTCTAATTTCTAATTTTTTCCACTTTGAGCTTATTTAAATTGATAATCAATCAAACAGGACTTCAATTTCAGAAACTCCAAGAATAAAAGAAGTGCAATTCTATAGCTCTATTTCACTGTCATGGTCAATATAAAAAGGATACTAAGAAAAAAGAAGAAGAAAGTAACATAATACACATTAAAGAAACATATATCAGATGGACAAACAGAGGACATAGTTAATATTGACATTAATCACTCATGCTACATAACCTTTCCGGAAGGTGGGATTCACAAACATGGGTTTAGCCTCTAAATACTAAATTATTTTTGAAATACGTCCCACCTAGAACAGGAGAGAGCAGTTAACTATTTGTTGCTACAAGGTTCCCTTTCTCCCATTAAACTGCTTAATTTTCAAAAAAGAACATGAAAGACAGGCCCAAGAAATGATGATATATTTTCCTTGTGTTATTTGTCCAATTCAGTTCTGAATTCTTTATTATAAAATCCCACTATCAATGGTTCCTTAACTTCCCTACGTCATAGAGGGGAGATTATGTACATCTATGAACAAATAAAAAATAACAAAAATCGACTGATTTTCCAAACCATGAAAGCCCAACAAGTGCAGCATGGGAATCAATCTTTCATCCTGAGGAAGTATTGCCAAGCAGTAGCACTTTGCTAACCAGTCGTTTCAAAAGATAACCAAAAGTATCATATATGAAAAGGATAAATATGAAATGTGTAGGTGCGTACAGAATGGTAGGCCATGTCACATATTCATTGATATAGGACAACCAAAAATTAATTGTTCCATACAAGTTCATTGCAAAGCATGGAAATGTAGATGCTATGAAGAACAAATATAGTGTTTGGACTAATGAAAAGAATGTAAAGAAGAATTTATTACATTTATCAATGATCCATATTTGCACAAGTAAGAATCATAAATCTGCTGAAACAAACCTGTTTATCTTTGTTACCGACAGCAGCTAGTCCAAGAAAACGCGTCACATGCACAGACTCATTATTGGTGTAGGGTTCACGTGCATAAAACACACCTTTGGTACCTGCAATGTGATACCTAAAAAAGAAATGAAAATGGGAAAAAAAGAACATCATACATATGAAATATTTTCCATAGAGGATTTTCACATGTATAAACAAAGAATCAAATGTCAGATTATCACTGGTAGCAGAACAAGAATATAAGATCAAAGCAACTGGTCAGAGCTTTAATTTGAGTGGTACAAGAGATTATAATTTACCAGCTATTCAAACACAGAGGTAGTATGCAAATCATAGAGGTCCCAGAAGTGTTAAGTTTAATATATAGTGGGTCTATCATTCAGCAGGAAGGGAAACTTGATTATAACATTTTTAATAGTGTTAAATGAAACAGCTAAAGTGGGAAGGTGTAGCCTGAGGTTTATATGCAACACTAAAGTGGGGGGATTGGTCATGTACAACTAAGATTAGAAAACAGGTATTCTAGGACAGTTGCAAAGTTAGCTGTGCTTTATGGATTAAAAACGTTGGACTGTTAGGAAACATGTTCTAAATTGCTCACTTCTCAGAAGAGGATCTTGACATAGATGTGCAAAGTTGTCTAGAGAATCAAAACAAAAGAAACATCTATATTCATGAACAATTGGATGTAGCCCCAAGAAGAAGATCAAACTAGGGAAAACCTTTTGAGCTTGTATGAGCACCATTTTTTAGTGATTCAGAGATGTTTTGGACAAGATGAGTCAATCAGAAGTAGTGGTGTGAGGAGTTTGAAAACTTTATTCAGAATAATAAAATGGGATTAGTCTGCTGTTAACTGTTAAGTGGTCTATTGATATTACCTAAACAAATACCACTGGAATAAAGATCCATGTAGCTAACCTCAGTAGTTGGGGCATTCTGTCTTATTTGTAGATAGAATGCAATAAATACAAATTATTAGATAGAAAATCTAGCAACTCAGATTGTGTTAAAAAAACCTTAGCCAATAGACAAACCAAATGAAAGGACTATTTTACTTGTCGGTCCCAAATAGCAAATCAAAAGCTGTTATTTTCAATACAGATTGTGTTGAAAAAGTCTCAGGGTCAGTTTAAATGTCAAAATACCTCATGTCCAAAAAGACTAACCACCAATGGTTGTTGTCCTTCAGAAGGATGAGAATAAGATAACTTTCAATACGATGATTTGCATCTCATCCTGGTTTAAGGGATGAAAGTATAGAACACCTCAGAAATGGAAAACAGATGGATACTCTAAAGTGATTCATAACTAATACTCATAAGAAGACTGAACCAATGACTATAGTAAAATAGACAGACATGTGAAAATGGCATCATTGGTGGTCTGTAACATACATGACTGTCTCCAGTGATATATGGAGGTGTTTTTGCATATAAGCATCTCCATAAATTCAAAACACAATATTTCATGCAAGTTGAATGATAGAAATTATACAAGGAACGGATAACATCCATTTGAACTTATGTTGCTCCATCAAAAAAATTTGCTGAGTTAGAATTTGTGAAAACGAGCTGCATGAAGTAATATTAGTGTGAGAAATAACTTACCTAGGCTTGATTTCAGCAGCCAGCTCTGAAACAAGAGGATCACAGCCCGATGGGTCTGCAACCACCGGAGGAGTATTGGAAGGGTCAGCTCCATTGGAGACCCCACTTGGCCATTCATTAGTAATAAATGATCAAGGAAGCCAAGAAAGCTCAGAATTCTCAAAAAGCAACAACAACGTACATGAAGCAGAAAATTTAAACACTAGTTTACGGATATGTCAAGAACAAATCGACAATTCCTTGCTCTTCGGCCAGTGCTCGCAATGCACCAACATCGTCCTCGCTGTAAATCCCACTCTCATCAGCCCCAGAAGATTGCCTACCGGACAAATACACCACTGACAACCCTGTAACCATTTAAGAAACAAATTTAAGACACAGGAGGCTTAAGAAGAATAAAACAACGGCAACGGGGATAAAGTTACTGCCGACCGTGGAGGGAGAACTTGCCACTGCCCTTCAACCAGAATAGATTGGGGCAGACCTCCAGCCCATCGGTCTTGAACCCACGGTTGGAGGGAAGCTTCGAGGCGGCAGAGAGGAAGCGGGCGGCGCCAACGCCGTAATCTCCGGTGAAGTAAGTGGGGATGGGAACGGCAGAGCGGCCCTCGATGTAGTCGGCGACTTCGTCGAGGCCATCGGTGGAGTCCGGGAAGAACTGTCCGACGCAGAGAAGGGCATCGAAGGGGCCGGTGGACTTGTTCACCTGCATCGGAAACGATGGGTTAGGCTTTCACTTCAGACGGATCGCGGTCGAGAGAGAGAGAGAGGATCCCTACGGACTGGACACGTTTGAAGAGGTGGTTGAGGCAGCCAAGGACGTCGCCGCAGAGGAGAATCCTTGGCGGCGGAGTCGCCATCGTTGCTCGTGGGTCAGAATGAGGCGCAGTTCGCGGGAGACAGTAACGAGGACGACGGAGCCCTAAGGCGCCTCGCCATGTGAGGCCAACTACTAACAGGCCAGCGGTCCAATGAACGAGACTTATCTGGGCCTCTTAGGCCCAAAGCCCAATAATGCACACCGTCAATGCCGCGTGGCATTGATAAATGGCTGCTTAGTTCATAATATAGTTTATCGCGCCGACAAATATGATAAAGGCCAACGCCTTCTGAGAACATATCCATTAATTGGGAATGGCATAAAGTTCCTAACAAAGAAAACTGCAGGGAAATGAGTCATCTCCATTCTACTACACAAATCCTGTCAATCCAAACACTTCCACGCCTCTTTACAACATATATCATCCACTATCTTCAAGAAAAGAAAGAAACCACAATCAAGGAGGCATAGTGACTGAACACTTCTACCTCATGCCGCCACCAACGTTAATAGGTCGGGCATGGGTTCTCCCAGGTACAAGAAACATCAACAAATGGAATAAGATGAGGAGGAACCAGCACAAACTGGAACTGATGTGGAAACCTTCCATTTGGGGAGGAACATAAGATAAAACCATGTGTCTGGTAAACTAGTAGTTAGCTACACATCAGCCTCAGGAGCCTCTTCAGTTCCTTTTAGAACTGCCGCAAGCCAATCAGAAGCAGATGCTTGGATCTCAGGCTGCACTTGCAAATCTAGATATAAAGGAGTAACAGCTATCTGAACCACGTCCAAAAAACCATGTTAGCTAGTAAAACCAAGACACTACATAATGAAACCTAAGGTACAAATACTCACAAATCCATTTGCCAGGGCTCTGAAATCAGAATCTTCTTCAACCTTGGGTTCCTGCTCCTTCTCAAGGAACTGCAAACAGAACAGCATAATTGACTTATCCACTTATTGCATATTGTATATTTGTAAGAAAAAAATTATGGACTACGTAAAGCAAAGAAACTCCTGGTCATCTTTAGCGAAAACCTAGTCATGAATAATATAAGCAAAACACATCGTTCCTTTTGTGAGATGTTGTCCACAGCAATTTGTACTGCAAGTTACTGTAAGATTGGCTAATATTTCAATTAAGAGATACAAGTCAATCATGAGATCGTAAACATCACTGATCTTTTGTTGTGCCTCTACTTTAACTCAAGAATACAGTCTAACCTCCAGTCGAAAGCACTTCTTCACCGCTTCTCTCTGCTCAGGTTTTCCAGCTTCTGCAACTGATTCGATTTCTACAATTTTCCTCTGAGCACCAACACGGCGTGCTGCACCCTGGAAAACACAAATTATCCATAAGTAATGGGAAAGCATTCAAAAAGTTCAAAACCAGAAGGCAAATATACTGACAGCCGCAGAGGCATCTCGGCCAAGCTGTGCAAGTTGGATACCAAGGCTTTGATGCATAGACATGAACTGCCCTGCAGTGGGATGCCTACTTGCTGAGACGGCTTGCCAGTTCGAAACATATCTCCAAAGGCTCTGCCTGGTCAGCTTAAAGCCCTGCCAAAAATTTATGACAATAGGATATAAAGTGTAAAGACAAATATCTCAATAGCAATAAACAGGCTGAATACATGAATTAGGAGTACGTATACAAATCATATCCAATTTGACCAACAATAATATCTAGAAGTCATGGTTTCCTTACTTGTGGAATACCACCATGGCAATCCAACTAAAGACCTAGATACGGACCAGACACTTCTGGGTGGCATAGTTGCAAACCACCTACACCCCTGTATTTCAACTGATTTCGACCAAAGATAGTAGTACAAACATGACTGGTTTGGACCAAACACAGATTTTAACCCTATGGTCAGGAAAATCTCATTTGTAAAATCCTAGGCAAATTGTGATAACAGAGTAACAAAGCATATATCAAGCCCACCATATTGACTTCCACCGGAAGAATGCATGTGGAGAAAAGCATTGACATGCAGATCTGTGAAAGCCACAATGTGTTGGCAAGATAAAGACAGCATACAGATGCGAGGGCACTGCACTGAATATCAATAGCGAAGGGTAATGTCAATTCATTCAACAGCTTCACTAAGCCTGTCATATCCAAGCATTCAATGGTTATTCCATCATCCCTGCTCACAATTGCCTTTGCAGATTTATGCATCAAAACATAAACTGCCTATTCAAATTTTGAATTTGACAAAAAAACAAAAACTTAAAGGTCCACCTCCGAGTAGGTCGTCCATATGAAATATCACATTCATTGCAAGGAAATAGGAGACATTCAAGCAAATATCAGTGCTAACAAAACTAGTCATGCCAACCGTTAGTAAAGGTTGATAGCAAGTGATGGGTAAGTACTCCAGAAAGAAATTACGAAGCATTAACCAACTATCAAAAAGTAAACTTATTTAAAATGTGATCCTAGAACTAGGTAGTGAAGTATTCAAAGGGATTCTACGAATACTAATGTCCAGTCCAAAAAGATCGTTATGGTCATGACATGCATTTTGAACTATGTGCACTCCATGGCTTTAAAAATGAAGCTACGGTAAAGAATGAAGCAAAAGTACATTCATGACATACAGAAGGTTAAGAATGTTGCTATAATTGATGTTAAGAAATATTCCACATAAATACCAATATAACCACAGATGTTCGGCATCAAATGTGAAATTTTAAAGCAAAAAAAGAAGACCAGATTATCCCATAGGGATCAAAATTTATGAAGCCTCAACATGATATTCAAACTCCTAATGGGCTTAGTTTAACTGCAGAAAACCTGGTTGGCACAGGGAGCCGTGGGAATTTCTATGTTCAGCAGACAGTTTCTTGGAAAAATCCCCTTCTCAATGTCCCTTATTGCTGCATTTATCAGTGGCAAACACACATCAACTGCATCCTTGAAATCGCTTTCTTGACTCTTTTCCTTCTTCCTAACAGAAGCAATCAAACTCCGATAGGTAAAATATGAGGATCATTGATTGAGCTAGCCATCATACCAGGAAAGGCACTATTTACCAGTTCAAAGAAATCACAAGAGAGGGTACTCCACACATTAAAGCCTCCCTAGCACCAGCAACAGCACCTGAGTAGAAGCTGCATAACATACCAAAAGATTAAACGTGAAACTGAGTCCAAAAGAACAAACACTACAGATGCCAAAAAGCACATGCAGATTTAAGGATTGAAGTATGAAATGGAAGTCAGATACAAAGAGCACATGCTGTCGTGTTAAACATTCAAAACAATGAGATGTGAACTTTAAAGTGGAATACTTACATATTATGACCACAACAATTTGATCCCTTGTTAACTCCACTGATAACCTAAATAATGAACAAAGCGTTCATAATATTTTCAAAATAGATTTGTAATTCTATATCTGCACAAAATCTTAAGGATATAAATTTACCAGTGTGGGCTTGGACCATGAAAATAATGAGCCAGATAAAGCTAAAGAGACACAATCAGCAGCAGATCCTGTTCACAAAAATTACTTTTGTAATTGCCAGGCAACAAAGTTTCAGCTTAAAGTTTCTTGAAAGCCAAATTTTGATATTAAAGATGCAAACTATTACATAATAGTATTGAGACAGAGATATTAGTCTGATGAAGTTAACTCATGGTTTCCGTCACAACAGAGCAGAGAGAAGTAACAGAAGAAACTAGGGAGAGATCCAAAATTGATCATACCCGAAACTTCAAAAGCTGTGGCACCTTTAAGATCTGCAGATGTTGCAGAAACTGTTTGGTGAAGGGTAATTGAATGACCAGATACAGATTTGTCCCTTCAGAAATTAAAAAAAAAAATACACACACACAAACATCAGTGCTATTACCCCTATGAAATCATCTAAAGAATACTCGAGAGTTGCAAACTATCAAACAGGACGTGAAACCTACTATTCACAAAAGTTCACAATTTCATGACGAAAATTGCAAGATATGTGCTACCCAAAAGGAGAAAAGGAACAAAGCCAGAAATTCGCAGTGTCAGGATCAAATTAATCCCGAGGAACCAATCTTTATAGGAGAAAGACTGTGTGATTCACAAAATAAAACGAATTCGCGATTACATAACCGAAATAGCAGGAGAAAAGGGATAAAAACAGAAAATTGCACAAAGGGCCATGACCAAACATATCCCAGTCTTCATAGGAAACCAAAGACAGAAATGGAATCAAGCCGAAATCGGAGAAAGGAAGGCAACGCCATTAACAAATTCATAATTACATCACGGAAATGGCAAGACACCGACTGTCCAAAATGCAAAAAAGGGAACAAAGCCATAAACCTGCACAGAAAGCTACGACCAGAAAAAACCCAAACGAATCGATCTTTATAGGAAACCAAACCAAGTTCAAAGAGAAGACAATGTCATTCACAAAAGGTAATAAAACAAGTTCATGAATACATGACCGAAGTAGCAAGATACCTGGAGAAAAGGAACAAAGATAAAACCCACTCCGACCAGAACTTTACCAATAAACTCAACGAAGCAGTCGTGATCAAGAAAAGAACAAAGGAGAAGAAGCCGAGCTCCGCAATCACCAAGCAGATTCAACAGCGAAGAGGCAAGAGGACTCACGAATCGGGTGCGCAGACATGGACATCGCACTGCTCCTCGCGAACGAGGGCCTCCACGAGAAAGGTAAGGCCGTGGGAGCCGATCCCGTCGGCGTTGGTCACAAGGACGACGGGCTTCCTGGATCCGTCGGCGGCGGTCTCGTCCGGGTTCCCGGGTTCCTCCTCGTCCACCGGCTTGGAATCAACGTCGCCGCCTGCCATTCTCGCTATAAGAACGGTTTGTAGGTTGGCGTCCGGATCCGTCATCGGCCCTCAAGAAACCAATCAAGCAATCCAAAACGGAGAAGAAGAGCGAAGAGAGGAGAGAGAGATGTGTCGGGTATTTCCGGGTCAAGATGGAGGGGTTTGAAAGCCGAAGGCTATACAGCTTTGGACAAAGAGGGGGAGAACGAGAGCGTAAAAGAATATATAATTAATTTCCTTTTTTATTTAAAACTAAAAACTATTTTTTGGAACGTTGTAATAATTCCGGCAATTAAAAAAAACGTTATATTAACTTAAATAAGAAGTACACCATATGCCCTTAGAGGTCAACACATAAGAAACAGTAAAAAGCTCCATTTACCTCTTAGCAAAGTTACCATATGCAACTTTGCTCAATATATAAGCCGTCTGCATTTAGTTTGACCCAACCAACATGTAGACACCTCCATTGGACCTCATTAGCAGCTACATTTCTGTTTTCTTATTATGTCTAGAAGTGAACTAATTCCACATCTAACTTTTTATTAAGCTTTTTTTATGATTCTGAAAGTAGAATTAAATATTCTTTTACTTTGAGAAAAATATTCAGGGGTCATTGTTGTGCCGACTGGGAAGAAAAATAAATATGTCTGAGAAAAATTGTTTTCATTTTCATCCAAAAAATATATTAATATTGGAGCATGTAATTAAATTCAGATTAAAATAAAATAAAATTGTTATTTACATGTTTCAAATTAAATTCAGAAGACATATTTTCATGCCATGGCTTTCGCTGTCTGTTCGCCAGCATTGAAAGCTATAGACGAGTTCATGCATTCTACGATCGCTATGCCTCTTTCTTGGAACGAGTGCTACACCTTTACTCAACAAATTTATTGGAAAGGACCAATGGGAGCAGTCTCGGCAATAAGATGTTAATACGTGAGGAAGGTAAAGGAAGGAAGATAATGGTGAGTTCAGGACCACATGTTATGATTCATGCCAACCTTCATGTGGGATTGAAGTTTGGATATGAATCAAATAGATTTTATTTTTAGTTCTTTCCACTTTGGATATAAATCAAGATCTATTGGTAGACAGCAACTGATTCTTATTATGATTGAAGAGGCATCATCAGAACGTGAGAACAAGATTCAGAGAGTGTACCTGCAGACATGTCGTTCTTGTCGTGATGCAGCAAATGCGTCCTCGGGAAATTTGTGGGGCCGCAGGAAGCTGCAACATCATAACGAGTGTATCTTTAATTGCTGAAACTGAAAAAACAAGCACATGTTTTTCTTTTTTTCTTTTTCTTTTTTTCAAAGCAAGCACATGTTTATCCTATGCATCTATCATGAATCTCACCATGTTTTTATGTTTTTTTGACCTAAAGGGATCATACATCAAAGAACACCGCTATTCATGTCGAAAAGAACAATATGCTGTAATAACTGATATAATGCAAGATAATAATATGATACAATGTTTGGCATCAAAATGATGAGAAGACTGGTCAGCGTACCTGCAAACTCTGATATCCAATGAACAATTCAGGAACTCGGGGGAAATGGAGAAGTTGGTGTCATGTAGATCCTCAGTGGGAGTCAGAATTGCTAGATCCATGAAGGGGAGAGGTGGAGACACTTATCTCCCCGCCCTATAAATTAGTCAACCATACTTGGGTGTTGCAATCTTCCTAGTCTTGAAATCCTGAAGAGTTGAGTAACATTGTTAATCAACCTGATTCAGCTCCAGATGTGCAAATATTCATTTTCTGGTTCCCTTTTCCTTTTTTTTTTAGTGTGTTGCCCTAACATAACCAGCTCATTTGTTGTTTACATCTTGAATCTGAGCTTTCCATTTAGGATGCAGCTGAGACATAAAGCTAGTTCTTCACTCCCCCAGATGACCTTGCCAGTATGATGATGAAACACTATAACTTTTCTGTTTCTATATTAAAAGCTTGCAGTATATCTCAATATTCCATCTGTTTACTAGTTGTCTGTACTCTAGTTCTGGATCTGAGTAAACCTTTGAATTCAGTATGGGTACTTCCAAGGGGCACAGTTGTGATCAGTATGAAATCCTTCAGTAGGTATCTGATCCATGGATTCCAGTTCTCAGACCAAGACATCTGAACAAAAATGATAAGCCTCATGATTTTTGACTCCAAAGCAACCTGGTATCCCTTGTATTCATGAACTTCCCAACTCAGAAAGCATCTTTTTTGAGACTAGATACTTGCAGTTGGTCTGCCTGATTAGATTCCTTTGCTTTTCATCAGCAATTCCCCCGAATTCAGCAACAAAAGTACATGATAGTTAATGTTCTTCCATCCTACTGACAAACCTGAAAAATGTAAAATCAAGGAATCAAAACCAACTATTTGTGTGCAAAAAAAAGAAGAAAAAAACTGTTTATCTTCAGGAAGGCGGTTTTTCGAGGCTGTATATGTTTTTCCATACTTCCCAGCAAAATTCTATAGAATCATAGCAAGGAAGACATGATTGATGTTAGTTAAAGAAATAGCTACATTAATCACTATATAGCAACAACAATGAACATATGTCAGTTTTCTGATAAATCATTTTGTTCAGAATAGAAAAACCATTAGTCGGATCAAGGGCTTCAAGATTAGGAAGAAAGCAATGGCTAGGTTATAAACCTATTACACCTCTTTACACAGTAAAGGGAGAAAGAAACTCCCCGCACAAACTCACAAATGAGGAAGTCAGACTAGCCTGGTAACATCAGGAAAATTCAAGCATCAACATGTCAAAGCTCTTCAATTAATACTTCAGCCGATATATTGAATAAAATAAATCCACACAATCAGGAGTCTGCTCGTGACCTTGAAGGGCTCAAACGGTAAACTGTAGCCTGTTCATTACCAAAGATAAAATGAATTCATACAAGTTAGATGATTGTATGCTGAGCAGCATAATATTATACTGACTAGTGATAAAACAGCACCACAAGATGCTGAAAGAAACCATTAAGTTTTTAGTTCTCTTATATGCACTCTGTATCCAAGTTTCTGCAGGGGCAGAGAAAAATCTATTTTACCATCTTTTAGCAAGGAAATCCTAGTAATAAATAGCAGAACACTTTAATGATTATCCAGCATAGTCATGTGGTTTCAGTTTGCTGACAAGAGAAACATGAATCTCAGTTGAGTAGCTTCTCAACAAGTTCTTTGTGATTAAAGCATATGGCTACTCTCCAACAGCCAACTTCATAAAAAACCATCACATACCAACATAAATCTTTAAAAGGCAGAGAATGCAATAAAGTTTAAAGAGCTAAAAAACTCATGACCATCACATACCAGCATAATCTTCAAATCCAGATATACAATTTCAAAAGATAATGAACTCATAAATCATCAAATCATAAACAAATCAGCACATGACATTGAATTAAGCAAATAGAGTTGCAGCAAGTAAAAAAGGCTACAATATATCATGTTTAATCCATTGCTGAATCTTCAACAGAATGTGATCTTAAGATAATTTTCCTTGCTCCAAGCAGTATTAAGATACTAGTATACATAACTCTTTTAGGAGTTAGCTACGAATGCAGTTCATAGTGCATGAAAGAATTTGTATTACAATTTACACTAGAATCAAGTTGTGCCAGAAGTGTATTACAATAAAAAAATTTCAGTAGCAAAAATATCCATTTAGTAATATGAGCAAAAAAATGTTTGACAGTGGATAGATACATCCATTTGTGATCATGTACCAAGAGACAAATTTTCCTTTAGCAAACCATGTCAAAGTTACACCCACACGATATTAACATTCAATCTTAAACCCAATGCAAAGTACCTGATAATTTAGCTCTCAAAAACATTAAACTAAGGGTCATCAGCTGAGGCAGTATGGGTTCCAACTGGTGAGGTCAGATGGCAATCAATTATAGTGAAAAAATTACCACTCGAAGCTGAGTCACTTCAACACATGGGACTTGAAATCTCGACCACTAAATTCATCGTAATAGAAATATACAGCTGGTAAGAACAAATGTAACAACCCTCTAGCCAGTAGCACCAAATAAAAACTCGTCCAAGATTTTTGATGCATCTGAAGCTTCACTTTGGAGGCTTCTGGAAGCAGGGTCACTACTGAAACTTTTATTTTTCAAATAGCTACCAGAAAAGGCATTTGTAGCAGGAAGAGAAACACTATATTCCATTTGTGGTTTAGAAAGAGATTTCTCACTTCGGCAAACAGCATTTTTATGTCCATCTGCTAAAGGCTTTTCTGGTTTCTGTTGACTGCACCCATGTTTCTCAGGAAGCAAGCTGTTTGCAGGCAACTTCCCACTCTCTAACAGTCCATTTCCAAATGAAATAAAACGTATTCCATTAGGTATTTGCATGGGTTCCTTAGCAATCTTCACCAAGTTTCCTTCCGACTGCTTAGGCAAGACAGATTTTATACTTGAAGTGGCAGTTTTAGGTGGATTACTGGCATTTGTAAGTTTTTTACTTGCAATTTTTTGGTTCCCCGCATTGAACTTTCCTGATGTTAATGGAGAAACTAAATTGCTTGCAATTGGCGTGGAGGAACCTTCAACAGTTGAGATCTGAAAAACAAAAAAATAACACAGTTAATTATTGACAAATTAATTAAAATTAACCAACAAATAAAACAAAAATAAAATAATAATTGGAACTTTCTATCAAAGATTAGAAGCTGAGAGCACTCCACAAGTAGGTACCTTATGTGAAAACTTGCATCTGTCTCCTCTATGGCAGCTCCCTTTTGAATGGAAGTTGTGACAGGGATACTTGGAGAGTTCATGATCGAATGGACAATCATCACCTTTTAAGCAAGAATCACAAGCAAAGTATTTGCATGGCTGCAGGAAACAACTAGTTCATGTCAGGAGGAAAAGAAAGAAAATGACAACATAACCCATTAAGAAATGTGAATCATGTTGTGACTTTGGGAAGATCATGCTTAACAAGATTGCATAGACAAGGAAAAAACATTTACACAGAAGGAAGGAAAGAAAAAATAGCAACTACTTCATTTCGTCATGCAACAACATTTTGGCAACCTGTTTGAGATAAATCGGTAAAAAGAAATGAACAGGAACAACAATGGAACATACGAAAGCAACATTCAAATAATAGCAAAGACAATAAGGATAGACAGAGGACATAAGCCTTATAGCATCATAAGTGGAACCTGATATAAAGCACAAACTCCCAAAAGGAGCCTCTAGTTGAGGATATAGCCAAAGGTCACAAAACAAACAGAAGAGAGCCAATTAGCTAATCCAAGGCTGCTACAAGAGAAAAACTCTACTAGACCATTAGTTTTCATATTTGAGATGACATCTGCAACTCAGCTTAGAGATTTTTGACACCCTCATCTAATAGATTGGGTTCCCAGAGCTTGTTTACTATTAATATTTTAGGTTGACAGTCAAAGATCAACATGGAAATTCATGTTGTTATTATCTAGTTAACCGGCCATCTGACTAAGCTAGGAGAGATGCAAAGGCGAACTGCATTCAATATTGATCTCCAACTTTTGGAGAGGACTATAACTGCTTTCATCCATCTGTATATTTTTCTATCCATACAAAACTAGATACTTGTGCTCCCTCAAGACATGTCAAAAAAGGCAATAAAAATAAAGGGAAAAATAGAATGTTATATATGAAGATATATGAAACTGGACATTAATTATATTGCCAAAGTCCATACATTTCATATGACCAGCAAATTCATGTAAAGAAAGCAAGGCTTTCACAAAAATTGTCATCAGGAAGTGCATAGTCAGGGTAAAAGACAATGCATCAACAAAACAAGATCTATAAATTGATAGTAAAATCTAAATCTTTAAGACAACATTAAAGGTAGAACATGTGCCTATGAATTTGTTAGGATTGTCCAGTCATTAGGGAAACAGTTAGCTGTGATTAATGCTCATCTCCAAATTTTGGAGAGGATTATAACTTCTTTCAGCTATCTGTGTATTTTCTTAACTATAACTTCCAACCTAAGCAGACCAGAATGGCACTCCAGAACAGCTCCCTACCCTACCAAACCACCAAGAGAAAGAGAGAGAGAGCAAACAATGGAAGAGAAAATAATATATGAAGATAAATGAAACTGGTCTTCGGTTATTTACCAAATCACATGCATTTTGTATGACCAGTAAAAACATTTAAAGAAAGCAAGGGATTTTGTTATAGAGACAAACTGCTACCAGGAATCCATAATCAGGGTAAAAAGCCATATATTACAAAATCCAAACTAGATTTAGGATAACATCTTAAAGAAATCTAAGTCTTTAAAAAAATAATCTTAAACATGGAACATGTACCTGGGACTTTGTTAGGGGAGTAGCATCATGGGAAAATTTGCACAAATCTCCCTGCAGTTCGAAAGAAATTGTGTCATATAGAAAAGGCTAATATGTTATTTATGTAAACAATGTGACAACAAACAACGTCAGAAAAAGTGGACAAAAACAATACATTAGTGTATCCAGATCATATATCCAATCAGACTCATCCATTTTAAAATCACATAATGAGAAGGATTCATACAAGGCACGTTTACAAGAAAAAAACCTATCACAGATCATTAACTTATCATACCAAGGTTCTCCTTTAAGCAGGCAACTTTATCCAATTTAAAGCAGCATCTTTACCATAGTAGGTTTCACACAAACATATCAAAAGGAGTGTTGCAACAAGAATCAACTTGAGAAGTACTTGAAGATGATGCAAACAGTGCAGATGATCTATTAGGATTAAATTAATCTAATGCATGGTAAGCGGTCAAGCATTTTCTAAAATAAGATATTTATGTAAGACATTATTTGATTAAAATCATGTTTATGCGAAATCACTAATATTAGAACAGAAATAAAAAGCAAAGAATGGGCAAGGTGAAGTGTCAGATACTAATTTGCGGAAACTAATATTAAGATTCCACCTTATATTTTCACATCTCATGAAAATTAATTGAAGGCCAATGAAAGGGAAGTGGAATTTTAAATGTCAATAGTGTATGAGTCTGTCTCATTTGAACAGGCTAATGTTTAATGTGAAGAAAATGTAACTGTCAAAACAATGTGCTAATAGATGCAGAAACTTTAACATATCATTTTCTATAAATCAGATCACCCCCAGCATAATGATAAAAAAAAGGAAATGGATAAGTAATAGAGAAGAACAATCCTGGAAATCAATTATAGAAGAGCTTGCCTTTAATGGATGTGAGGAACATAGGGCTCAGAGACTAGAAAGATTCATGAATACTGAAGTTGCCAAGAACATTCAGGATAAAGTTATAAAAAGTAGCTAAGTAGATGATATAAAGGTCAACATATGATTTCAACAAAATGAAGAAGCCACAAATGCCCTGAGGATCGCATGAATATCAGGTGAATACGAAATTATGGAGGGATTGTTCTCTCAACAATATAATAAGTTATCTTCCACTAACAAGATATTTGTAGAACAAAAGAGCTGACTAGCAATGGAACCATTTGTACAACAGTTGCAAATAAAATTATGAGTTAATAAGTGTTTGATGGAATATATACAACATGAATATGGAGAACTTGAGTGAAACTGAAGCAATCACAAACTAAAGAAATAGATAGCTCAACCTGCTGGCATCTACCCATCAGATAGAAGTTGCAGAGCTTTACTGCTTTTGGCTTTACAACCGGTTGCAGCTTCAATCTCTTGACTCCTTGTTGTCTCTCTTTCTCTGCTCTTTTCCTTTTCTTGGCCTTCTGCAAATGGATAAGAAAAAAGAATGTATTAGTAATATTGCGGTTTTTTGAGATACACATCATGCTTCTTTGACAAAGTTAATTCAAAATGTATTGCTGATATGCAGTTAAAAATATATGTTCAAATTTAGCTAACTTTCATAATTAGGAAAAGAACAATATGGAAAGTGTATTCACCTTTTTCTTAGCTTTTCTTTCCTCAGTTAAAGGACCTCTCCTCCTCTTGATTTTTTCGTTAACAGCCTGTGTAGAGAAAACAATAAAAAAATATCAGAAGACAAATTAGTGGATCAAGAATTACAGTAATATTAGTTGGGAATGTCCTGATTTTATAAACAGAAAGATCCACTGACATGGATAACAGGTAGAAATACAAGTAAACACAGACTAAAATTGCAGAAACTAAAAGCTGAAGCCTCAAGGCCCCACCTCCTAGCGGTCAAATTCACACACTGTGATAAGTATGAACTTTTCTGTCTTTCCAGTGTGTTGGCTATAATGTTGGACCTATTTTTTAGGTGAACTTACTCCTCCAATGAATACAATAAACAGTCCATACTTTGAATTAGGTTTTTCATCATAATGTTGAGAATCAGTATAAGAGTAAAACTCACGAAGCTACCACATATAAAGGACACAGCACCCCGTCTACACAATGCAAGGACCTGAGACAATGAAACATTTCTCATAATGGATATAGTTAATGAATATAGGATTTAAAAAAATGCAAATATATCCTAAGTTTCAGCATGCGACCAGAGCATGGCAAGATATCCATCCAAGCACCAAATGAAGTTGATATGATAGAAAGGACCTCAACAAGGGTGCTAAAGTAACTTTCAGTTAAAAGATCTGAAGCCAATTTGCAAATATTAAAAAAAAACTATTGGGCTCGTGGAGTAAAGTACTACACCAGAAAAACACACCTCAACAATGGATTCCTTATTCTGATATGTCAACTTCTCTTCACATGATCCAAAAGCATTCACTGCAGTTGTTTGCTGCTCAGAGTACATTACAGGCACATTACTACAACTCTTTTTCATTTCAGCAATTGAATGTCTTTCATCTGAAGAAAGATAATCATTTCCATCCATCTTTTCATTGATCTCCATGAAAAGAACATCCTCTTTCAACTTATTATTTCTTGCCATAATGTTCTTTCCGGAGAGCTTAGCCAAACAATCAGGACTTTCTTTTTGAAGAAAGTCAGTGTGACATGATCCTTCGTCTAACTTCTGATCCTGAAGAAGTGCATTATGATGCACCCCTGGTCCAGTCTCGTTTAAACTCCAAAAGTCACCAGGAATTTGCCCTTCTTCAATTTCTTCAACATTGTTTGGATCTACTAATGCATCTGCCAGGTCCTCTTCCAACTGTTTCATGGAGAAACCCAAAAGCTCTTGTTGATGCTTTTCAGCAGTTTCATTTATTGACTTGGACACGTTTTTCTGAGGTTTAAATAACATTTGCTCATTGGGAGACAAATATGTAGCCGATGGATTAGTACATTCCCTGTTCCTTTCAAACATGATATCACGTAGCAGTTCATTAGAAGAAGACATTCTAGTTGGGGAAACACTTAATGCATTAAATTCATCTGTCAAGACCTCTGACGATGCTCCTTTAACGCGTTCATCTTTCAGTTCATTATTCATTCTTTGTTCTGATTCATCCACCAAGTGAGTGACTTGATCCTTGGAACCAGGGAATTGAGATAAATTTTCTCCAGAGACGCCTTCAGCAACTTCACCGTGTGATCCCCCATCTAGGCCAATTTTACTGTCCTGCAATTCTACCAATTCAGGGAAATCAAAGATCAAATTATCACCTGGAGGTTCTGTGGCTTCGTCCATACAAACTTCGGTCTCTAACTTAGATTCGACAATCAGACCTTCCTGAAGTCCACCATCAACACATTGGCCAGTTTCCTCGCGCTGATGCCCCATCTCTTCCATTGAATTCGAAGCCTCGGCTTTATCGTCCCCAGATTCCGTTTGCGGCCGTTCACACACCAGGCCGTTCACCGTCTCTCCATTCCCGCCAGTCCCATCTCCAAATTTCTCTTCAATTCCCTCACTTTTCGAATCAGAGTTAAACGTAGCGTTTCCACATTCAACACTCTCACTGTCATCACGCCGAAGCTCCTTTGCCACGATTCCATCACCATGTGAATCAACGACGTCGTCTTTACCAGCCGACGAGCTCTTCGGGACTTCAGGAGAAGCGGCACCCGACACAAGGATCGGATCCTTGCAAGGTTCTTCGATGGGGACGAGGGACTCGTCGAGGCAAAGGGAGAAGATCCGAACCAGAGTGCGGTACGACGCGCTGTCGAGATGGGATCTCCGGCGCGGGGGAGGAATGGGGCGCGAGTAGCTTCCCATCCGAGGGTTTAGGGTTTCGACTGTGGCGGGACTTCGGAATACGTTCTCCATGAATTCGAACCCTGTCTTCCTTCCCTCCGCGGTCTTCTTTCTTTCGCCCGCCGCGAACCCTAAGTTCCTACGAGTGGCGCCTTATGTAGACGTCTGCGGAAAGAGACGGTTGCTGGTCATGTGTCTCGTCGATCGCACAAGACACGAAAACACGTCTTATCATTGGCTTAGAAGGCGGGCCCCCACCCGGTTGATGATTGGCAGTTGGGTCTATTGATTGGGCCAACAAAAGTACTCTGAGCATAGCTTAATGAATGAGCCCAATTGCGGCCCACCTCTTATATATATATATATATAAATAAATTCATAATTTTTTGTTGAAATTTAGGTATTTCTAAATTGGTACCCCCGTATGATTTCTTTAAAATAATATCCTTTAATTTTAAAATACCCAAAAAAATACTCCTCCAAAAATTTTTCATGAAAATTTTATCTGTTTTTGCCAAATTTATACAAATTTATAGTGTTTTTAGTTTGTTTCTTTACGGTGTTTTCCAAAAATATTTATAGTATTTTCTATTAAAATATAAAAACACTATAAATGTTATTGAAAGATATTATAAGTGGCATTATATTGTCCATCTTTTGGTTATCTTTACTCAAAGATCATCAGTTGGTTTGATTGATGTTTTGAGTCTATTTTACTCATTTATAATGTTTTTGAGTATATTTTATTGTGATGATCAAAACACCATAACAAACTGATTTTTTTTATTTCTATTTAGGTAATATTATTCTTAAACTATTATAAATACCTATTTGAATCATAGTATAATTCTATCTAACTTAGTTATAATATTTTAAAGTAATTTTTGTAGTATTTTTTATTGTGTCCAAAATATTATAATAGGCAAAAAAAATTGAGAACAATTTAGATTTTTTTAAAATATATAACACTATTAAAGAAAACCCAAAATAAGGAGTACTGTTTGAGAAATACTTAATATTTTTCTAAAAAAATCGTCCAAAAAATTTATTAAAAATTTAACTATTGATAATAAAGATCATAAAACCTTTATATTATACATCTTACTTATTAAAAATAGAACCCTAATTCGATCCCATCCATCTTCTTATATTAAACTCATCTCTTACTTTTCTAACAAAAAAGCAAAAAAAAAAGAGACTGTGGTTTTTTTTGTTAGTTCTTCATTCGCAGAATATGTGCTCGTGACCAGATAGATGATTGATGGAAGACAGCAATCCATCTCCTGGCAACTTCGCACGCACTGACCGGCATCGACGGAAAGCAGCCGACGGTTGTTTCCTTGGCTGAGTCTGACCGCTCGGAGGTGACACATGAACTGATGCTTTGGATCTGTGCGTGGCCGAAGCTGTCGGCGCAAGCAAACCCCGGGTTGACTGAGTCTGACTCAAGAAGAATGCCGCTTGAAAGCTATCGGCACTTCCAACCGATTACTGCCTTTAGACCTTCTGTTTCTCTTCTCTGAGGGCCATTGACTGAGTCGAAGCAGGCGTCGTCGGAGATGAGAGGACAACAGCTTGGAAGGAAGGAAGGAAGAGAAAATTTAAAATAATTAATTAGTTATAATATCATTAATTTGGATTTACTTTTCTTTTCGAGTCGAATTGTGACGAATAATTATTATAAGGAGGCGATGGGACGGTTTACTGCGTCTCATCGCGTAACGACCCAAAGCGTCATATTATGCCATTAAACCGCCGCCCCACCATTCATATACCGCCACGCAAGCAGTGACCCCAATTTGCAACTCCGCGTAAGACAAGATATATATATATATAGAGAGAGAGAGAGAGTAGAGTGGACTCGCTGAGTTGGTCGGTCGGGAGGTGGGAACTCGGAAGCCCCGCTTGGCCATGGAGGCGAGCCAACCCTTCTCCGACTCCGACGCGACGAGCAGCAGCCTGTGCCACCCCGTAGCAGTCGCAGTGGCGGTAGCAGGGCAAACCGTGGCGGCCGCTGAGGTGGCCGCGCTCAGCCGCCTGTCGGAGCAGCTCGGATTCCTCCTCCGCTCCCCCGGCCTCTCCTTCTGCTCCGACGCCCGCATCACCGTCCGATCCTCGGGCGGCGAGCCCCCGCGGGTGGTGCCCGTCCACCGCTGCCTCCTTGCGGCCCGAAGCCCCTTCTTCCGCGACAAGTTCGCGGGGGGGGCGGCGGCGCTCGAGCTCGGCGAGATGGTGAACGGCTTCGAGGTCGGGTGTGAGGCACTGGAGGCGGTGCTCCAGTACGTCTACACCGGCCGGCTGGAGGAGCTGCCTCGGGGCGTGGCTGAGTGCGTTGACGAGGGCTGCTGCCGCCATGAGGCCTGCTGGCCTGCCGTTCATTTCATGCTCCAGGTCCTCCATGCTGCCTCCACCTTCGAGATCAACGAGCTCGTTAGCCTCTTTCAGGTAAGCAATGGATCGATTGCTTTTAGAGATGTAGATAATGGCTTGATTCGCTTCTTTGTTCTGAATCGTGGGTCAGCATGCCTTTGCTTCTCTACTACAGTATTCCTTGTGGCATCTGGTGGCTTCTATCGGTTGCTTGATTGATTGTCCAGTGCTACACACCATCCTTGAATTCCTGAAGTAGATTCCGTTGTGTCAAATACAAATTAATCCCTAATTTCATGATTTTACTTAGTAGGCTGTTCAGGTGTACTGAATACTTGTGAAATAAAAACAAATTGAACAGATTCATCCTGTTCTTAGAAGTAAAGTGCAAGACTTTCAGAATATTGTAGTGGAATTTTGTTATCGACATTTTGCTCGAGATTGAATTTTGATTCAATGTTCTTGTTGGTGTTCTAGCATTGTCAATCTGTAGATCTATCCACTCCTGGTCTTCAAATTGTGCAATAAAAAATCTTTTGATTATTATGAGGAGTTCCAACTATGAATCCCTGCTTCCTTCTCTGATATAATCGGTGTACCCAACAACCTATTTGCAGATAACAACGAGAAATCCTCAGCAGATATAAAACTGATGAGCACATCTATCATAAGTTCTTTTCATCGGACATTTAGAAGCAATAACTTTGGGTTTTTCCATTAAAGAGAGTAGGTACCTTCCCTTCTATATTCTGGTGATGCATCCTTGACATATTTTCCAATTTCCAGCAATTTTGTAAGGCATGTCATCATGAATTGTTGTTTGATCGTCTCATTTTCAGCAACAATCAAGTTTATGCTTTTTTTTTTTGTTGCCAAATCCTCAACTTTCTTGAAAGGATGTATAACATAAGAAATCATTCATTGCAGCGGCAGCTCCTCAATATTCTTCAGAAGGTAGCAACAGATGACATTCTGATGATTCTATTGGTTGCAAATTTGAACAATAAGCTGTGTCAGAGATTACTTACGAAATGCATCGGGATGGTTGTCCAGTCCGATATCGATTATGTAGCCCTAAATAAAAAGTTGCCCCCAGATATTGTCGAGCAGATTAAGCAGTCCCGGTCAAACTTCGGATTGGATGGACAAGAGAACCTTGAATTCCCTGAAAAGCATGTGAAGAGCGTATACGGTGCTCTCGATTCAGATGATATCGAATTAGTCAAATTGCTTCTGGAGGAGGGAGGTACCACTCTTGACAATGCAAAGGCTCTACATTATGCGGTAGCTTATTGTGATTCTAAAATTACAAAAGAGCTTCTGAGTCTTGGGCTTGCGGACGTTAATGGCAGAGACCACAGACATTACACGGTGCTCCACATTGCTGCAATGCGTAAAGAACCTGAAATCATAATGTCCTTGCTGACGATGGGAGCTCGCCCTTTTGACCACACATCGGATGGAAGGACAGCTCTTCAAATCTCCAAGAGGCTTACCAGATCTACAGACTATTATAGGTCAACCGAACAAGGCGAACCTTCCCCGAGGGAACGACTATGCATCGAGATGCTAGAACAAGCTGAAATGAGAGATTCATTCATGGAAGTAACTTCAGTTCCAGTCGAGATGATCAGTGATAATCTGCAAGAGAGGTTATTGTACCTCGAAAGCAGAGGTAATTTTACCGGTGTAGAAAGTATTTTCCTTTGCCGTTTTCTTGAAATATTATGAGAGGGGGGTCAGCTGTATTTCCTCTTCTTAATGCAGTTTGGCTAGCAGAGAGCTTATTTCCGACGGAAGCAAAAGCTGCCATGAACAATGCTAATGTGGATGGCACACTAAGATTCAAGTCAAGTTGCTTGACAAATCTCATTTCTGGAAACAAGAGGTCAGCCGAGGATGTGGTAAAAGCATCTTTTAAAATGACAGAAAAGGACTTCTCGCGGATGGAAGCTCTAACAAAGACAGGTACTTTTTCTGGGCAAGTAATTATCTCTTTCTCAAAAACTCATTTAAGATACAAAACCCACTTGTTTAGACCAGCAGGAGACAGCTGCATACATTGAACACTATCCAAGCATCCACTGGATCAGTTATATCAATATCAGTTTTTTGGTAGAAACCATGAGACAATCTTCCTTGCTAAGTTCCTTTCCAAACAACCTCCTATTCCTTTCAATCAAAAGTGCTGCAAAAGAAGTAATTCCGATTTTCTACTGCAGTTCTTAACAAATCTTCTCGGATTTTGATTCGAGTCTTTTTATCGCTCTTCACCTGACAAAACTTCAACATGCTACCCCATATCTCTCCAATTACTGCACAACCAAAAAAAAGAGAAGATCAATATTTTCTGCATCACTGACTTTAAGCACATAGTGAATTTCTGAATTGCTTCTTGCTTAACTAATCCATCGATCGTGTTACTATTTCACTGTCGATAAAAATATCGACATCCCATCCCAGCTTTCATAACCCGTTTGTGGGCCAACAAAATGCTATCAGCTGTCCTTTTCTGCCCCGCACAAAATGTTGTCAATTATTTGCGACCCCCTTATTCGGTAAAAAAATCAACCAAGTTATGTAATTTTGCAGGTGTTGGATACTTTGTTTTGGATGAGAGTTTTAGCAGCTAACTTACATAGATTCTTAGATCGGAAATATACTGCACAACTCTTTCAGTTTTCTTATATTGGAAACATGCTGCACAACTCCAGTAGTGACATGAAAGACATGCACAGTGGCAGCTTTTTTTGAAACACTGCATATGACTCAAACTCAATGCGTAAGCGTCAGCGACCTAAACAATATTTCGAGTTGCGACTTTTTCTCAGACATCATCTTGAATTGTTAAGCAGTGTCATTCCATCTAGAAACTTAGGCATTTAGATGAGCCACCATCTTAGCGCATGTCGATAGCATGATACTCTGTATTTTGTAAATGATCTGTGTGAACGTTACTATCCAGTGCAACTTGGGATGCATTTCTTCCCTCGGTGCTCCAAGGTAATCGACAAGTTCCTGGGAGATGATCTGTCGGGGCTATCCATAGTGGAGCACATCAACACTGAAGAGCGAAAGAACAGATACAATGAGATTCTGGAAGAGATGAACATGGCATTTACACAAGATAAGAACGAGAAGGCGTTCGGCAGATCTGCCGCCTCCTGCTCTGCCGCTTCGTCTTCTAAATCTGCTCGAGCAGCCAGGAATAAGGTTGCCAAAAAGTGATATGGGGTATCGTTTTCCTCCTCCCTCTCTCTCTCTTTCTCTCTCTCTCTCTCTCTCTTCTTTTGACCCTTAGCTTTATGCAGCGGATGAGCTTAGTTTAAGGACCATCTGTTTCTTTCCTTGCGTGGAGGTGGAAGATGAGCACAATGCCGTGAACGTTTGCATGTTTTGATGATACCTGCAGATGAATCGAATCATGGAAATATAGATAAACTGTAATCAGATCCCAGTCCACAGAAGCTCGACATCTCTGCTTCAGAAATCGTGCATGGCCTTTGACGAAGTGCGATGGCCCCAGCACGGATGTTAAAGCAGGAACCCGGTGAAGCACTTCTTTTCCGGGTTCCGTCCTGTTTACTTCCGTTGTCGGGAGACGTTCAGCGTATCTGCTTTGGAAATCGTGCGAGTAACAGCATCAGTGCCGGTGCGCCTCTGGCACGAATCATAAAGCGAAAACGTGGATGACTAGCTCTTCAGCATCTCTGCTTTGAAAACCGTGCGAGTGACAGCATCAGTGCGGTGTGCCTTTGCACGGATCATAAAAGCGAAAAACGTGAAGGACTTGCTCTTTGTAAACCGTGCGAGTGAC